TTGTCAAAGGACCGCCCGGAAAGGAGGTCTGAGTCCAGGGCCCGCAGAACCAGGGAGATATTTAAATGATGTCTGCATTAAATGTGGGGCCATGAATAAGCACTCAGCCCTGCCTCAGAGGTATATTTCACACCTTATCTGTTCTCCAGGCTGCAACCCCATCTACCACCTGCCAGCAGTGGTCCTTCCTCCTCTGCCTTCCCATCACCTCTGCTTATGTTCCAGATTGCAGCTCCTCTCAGGCGGCCAGTACCCCCTACATGCAATTCTCCCATTTCCCACATTATCAATCTCCCCACAAGATCCTCTAGGGGAGCCCCTTCTCTGACTCTCATGCACCCCACCCTTTCCATAGGGTCCAGCACAGGGTGGTCTTTCCCAGTCATGAACCAGGTCCCACCACTCCCAGGGCCAGAGCTCCCCCGGCCCCATAAACTCAGATTGCACTCTATGCTGGTGGCCTGGCCTCAAAGGCCTCATCTATCTGGCCCGTCCTTCCCTCCCCTGACAACCCCAGTTATGAAGGTCTCTGTGTTCTCTGGGCTCTGGCCCCATCAGCCTTCCTGATTCCTCAAACATACCAGCCATCCCCACCTTGCAGCCAGTGTGCTACTCTTCCATTACTACGTGGCTGGTACTTGTCATCATTCAGTGCTCAGCTCAAATGCCACCCCCTCTAAATGTTATTCCCTGTCTCCATCGCATTAATCTGTTCTTATTTTCCTCAGAACCATACCACTATTCGAAGTTCCCTTGTTATTTGCTGTCTGCCTCCCTGCAAAAAGAGAATTACTGCACAAGAACAGAACCTTTGTCTCATTCGTTGTTAAACTAAGGACAGAGCAGGCTCTCTGTGCCTGACCCCATTTTGCAGATGATGAAACTGAGGCTGAAGAAATCCAGCCAACTTGCCCAACATCACAAAGCAGTACAGCCAAGGCCAGGGCTGGAACCCATGGTCAGCCAATCTCCTATCCCATGGCCATACTTTGCTGCACTGGACTGTTCCATGCCCAGCTCTGCAGCTTGAAAAAGATTTCCCCTCCCTCTGGCAGCCCCCCTAAATTTGAACTAGTTGAGATAGGCAGCAGTATCCTGAGTTCTCCATGTCGGCATTTTCAGTCACTCTGAAACTTTGAGCATAAACCAAAATACTCATTGTGACTATATTCCTTGAAACCTGAAATGAAGCAGAAAGAAACCCCAGAGATATCCAGATGCTGCCCAAGTACAAATATGCTGCTCTGACTTCAGTAAGAGGGCTGGGAAGATCATTTCTCCCTAGAACAGACACACTTCAGAGTGAGCATCCCAAAGACCAGGATCACCTCAAAAGGTTTTGATCCCAACTAAGCAATGAATCCCACATTTCCAGTTTTCT